GACGAAAACCCAATCCCGATGGCAAACACCGGGGGTGGGGGTGGGAGTGGGGGGGGCGGTTAGGAAAAGTTGTATTTTGATGCTTGTGCCCTATGGGCCAATTTTCCATTGAGCATGCGCAGCATTCGAGACACAGCACCGCCCCTTAAGCAGTTTAGAGCTGCCAAAGAATGGAGATATTGTGCTGGCCCTCCAACACTCTTCCTCCGGAAAGGCGGGGGAAAAGCACCGCGTGGACACACACACACGCTGACAGGGGCGCTACGACCACGGGCAGCCTGGTAGAGCCAAATCCTGCAAAGACAGACCCGCCGATAAAGAGGCTATGTGAAGAACCCGGATCGGCACGGAAAATCACAGCAGAGCAGTGCGAAGCCACCTCTTCCCACCTGAAGTTCCTTCGCGAAATCAGGCATCGGTACCGCCTCCAGGAAACGGTGGTAGTCAAGCCGAACGGAGGAGCACGTCTCGAGATCACACCCCTCAAGCAGGCTAGAGCCGCCCGGGTGCCGTGTGTGTTCGCCTACCTCCACGAGGTGATAGGACACGAATTGGGCAAGAGGTAATTACGAGATTGGGTTGGCGGGAAACGGGTCACAAACGGGGACGGGGGTACGACAGTTGCGAGAGTACTGCACACGTTTTCGGAACCAATGCGGAAACTGCTCCACAGAACACAACGATGAACGGTCTTCGCTATTTGCTTCCGCCCGGGGCTCCCGCTCCCGGCATCATCTGTCCGTGTTTCCGTGCGAAACCGCACGAAAGCACGAACTAATTCGACAGCGTCCAGAAGCACGGGTCGCTGAGAGGACAAACGCGAAGAAAATGGTTTTGCTCGCTTGGTCAATAACACGCTGGACTTCGGAACACAGAAGCAGCTACTACCACAAGCATCAAACACACCGTCGTTGCGGCTTGTTGGACAACGCGCCATGGTGTACCGAGCTGTACGGTGTCGAATAGCAAACTGGGTAGGCGACGACAACGGTAGGGTTAGCTTCCCACCTCCATCGTCGCCAGTCCCTGCTAGGAAGAAGTCTCGAAAAGCCCCCGCGGCGAACAGCCGGGAATCACTCTCAGGCGCTCCGTCCGCTCCCTTTCAACGCACCCATGGCACGAAAACATCGCCAAGTTCAAGGGCAACGAGTGCGGAGAACATATAACGTTCTACTCAAGACCTACGATTGGTCAGGTTGGGTCATCTGTGGTTGTACTTGAAAAACAAGAAAGTCACCCACGCGTGATTGTAGCATCGTCACACGATATACTCGACCTCAAAATAGGTTATTCCGGAGAAGCACTTCGTCACAGCGGGAAATTCGTCCAGCATGCCATACCTCGTCGGGAAAGTACTCCGGCCAACAGCTGCTGATGACCCGGAACTCGTCTCTGTCCAGAAGGGGGCCCCTTCCCCGCCCTCCCCCCCCCCC